GTGAGAATTCGTGACTTCAATTAAATTCCATTCGATACTCAAGGAATTTCCAACCGATGATGCGCAAGTAATTTCCGAAATTGGATACTGTGTGCCACCAGCAAACAGGCAAATACGAATGCAAACAAACACAAGTCTGTCTCTTCATCTGTGTTTGTGCGTATATCTCTCTGTGTGTGTGTGTGTGTCTGTGCGGGCATCTGCTAGTATGTGTGCGTCTGTGTGCATTTGTATTAAATCAAATTTTAATTGCGCATACTTGTCCCTCGGCAAATATTTGCAACGCTCGCTCGCCACCGCCTTTGACTGGAACTCCGTCTCATCCGCCAGCGAAACTGGCCAAAATGCTTTAGCGACAAGGAATTTAAGGCCAACACACACGCAAACACAGCCGCACACTCGCATACACCCACGCACTGATCAAACAAACATTATGAGCCAACAGGCAAATAAACAAACAAGCGGCAAAGAAAATTCAACTTGTTTACTCGCCCACCAAAAAAGTACGCAGAAGTTAAGCCTTCAAAAGTCGGAGGGAGATCCAGCCAAAAAGGTAGAACAAGATTAAATTTTAAAATCCATAACCTAATACCACATATAAAAGTATACTTTAAAATATTGTTGGTTGATGCAAAAAGTGTCCAAGAAATGAGTTAAAATACTTATTTTAATATCCTTAATTTTGAATAGCCTCACACAAATGGGATTTGGAATTAATTTGAAACTGCTTTAGGAACATGCTAACTGGAATTTAAGATGCCCTTAAATGGGCTTGGGATGTCAGGTTAATAGGGGTAGCCAAGGTTGAAATTCATTCGACTATAATTCCCCTAACGATGCCGAAAGAATCCAATGCCAAAGTCTATATAAGCAGCCGGCGAGCGAGGTCATTGGGTTGGTGGGAGGTATTGAGCTCGTGGACGGTTCTTTGAGGGGGAGTGAGTGTCTACTACTAATGCCTAAATAAGTAGAAACTGCCACGGAACCCCGCCCCCTTTCCCCCGCCCCCAAATAAAAGTATCTAAGCGGCAGCTCCTAGGAAATCTGTCAAATGTCAACGGCAGCAGCGAGTTGGCAACGTTGACGTTGGCTCATTAAAAAACGAACTTGTCCCAGTCGAAGTTGTTTGTATTGTTGCCTTTTGGGACTGGAGCTGACACCTGGCCAAAAGTTCCTGTGTGTTGGTTTGTGCACAGCAAAAAAATATGTCTATCCATAAAATGTAAATTCTTAAGTAAATATGAAATCCTTTTTTTATTGCTTCAAAGCAATTATCTTAATATAAGCGAAAAACAAGAATTAAAACTCGCCTTAGTTTCTTAAACAATAATTTTTAAATTAAGAATTTTTGTATTTGGCATAACCTACACATTATTTAAGGATTTGTTAATATTCCGCAGATAATTGAAAACTGAATAGAACTATGTAACAAATGCATATGATTTTTTTCCAGTGCCTATTTAGAGGAGGCCTTGGTTCAAAATGGCGGCCCTACTGCGACCATTTTGGCTGTTGGCCTGGGTGTTTATCACATTGCTGCTATTAATTAAGCTTAACGAGGTTACCGCTCGCAACCACACCCCCTCGCTAAAAAAGGGGGCGGGTTGGCAGGTTAAGAAGATTGCAGGGTGGAAGGGGGAAGGGGGAAAGGTGGCTTCTTCTTAGTGCGGCAAACTTCATAATGAAATTTCACCTTCATCTCATTAAAAGTCTTGAGCATTTTTCGAGCACATTGCTGTAAATTGATGCGTGTCAGTTGGAAAAGGGTTTTGCGCCCTCAGTCGCGAAGGCGGTGCCACGCCCCTAATCCCACAAAGCGCCCAGTCTGCTTGCCAGCTTTTCGAGTTTTCGAGTCTGCGAGTCTTCCATCTGCCGACTGGCAACGCTGGGGCGCATATTTAATTTTTAATGAAGTTTAATGGATGCCGGAAGCTTTAAAGAAACTGAGCAGCGGAAACCGGGAGCCTGGGAGCTCCTGAACTCAAAAGGGAACCGAAAGGCAACAACGGAAAGCTGGAAAATTCACTTCAACCTGGGAAGGTTGCACTTCTTCCCTTGAATCCTTACTTATTCTGCTGCTCAAGTTTATATTACCCAATTTACTTGCATTATGTTCGAAAAGAAATCTTTAAATCAATGGTTAATTTAAAAAAACTTCTTGTTTAATTTGAAACAGTTTTTCATTATAAGAAAGTATAAAATATTTTGTTACTCTAATTTAAATATGCAATTTTATTTGAAAGATTTGTATTTTTATCAGTACCCATTTTAGTGCTCCAGTGATAATTAGCTAATGCTTGAGTGAATGTTCGGCTGACAATCAACTAACAGCATTCCCGAAAATTCCGGCAGGACGTAGTGCCCATTCTATCGGCTCAAACTGGGCAATAAGCAGACAATAAGCACTTGCAGTTAATTAACATATTATCTGCAGCTTAGATATTGCGTTGCACTTTGGTAATGCACTTCAAAGTGCTTGCACATCCGTGTGCAGTTCTCATTTACATGCATATGGCAACAATAATTACATGTGCCAGGCCCCCCGTCCGACCTCTGACCTCTCAACTCTCGACTCCTAACCCCTGACCCTTAACCCTTGGCCCTCCTGAGCCCCCTTAGCCCCCGAATCCCCAGCTGGCCAGCCGGCAGAGAAATCTCTTTCGACGAAACGGCATCCAAGTGATTGTAATTCATTAGTCGACAACAACAACACCCGATGCATTTGCCATCTGTGGGAGCGGGTGCATCTGCATGTGGGTGTGGATTATGCAGTTTCCGCTTGGCTGCAACTGCAACAGCAACTGCAGTTCCCATTTTCCCATTTCCCCACCTCCCCACTTCCCATTTCCCTCGCTTTCCGTTTTCACGGCTGCAATTGCGATTGCAGCTGCTGATGCCGCCATTTTATCTAATTGCGTTGCCCCCTCCATCGGCATTACGCATACGCCGCGTGGTCCATATCATTAAAATTACGAGTGCTTCACGCAGCCAAAAAAAAAAAAAATTTGTTTTCAGCTAAGAACAAACGAGGGGTGCTAAAGGATTATCTAAATAAAACTTAGGAACTAAAATAAATACTGAATATATTTGTATTCCCAGATGTTTTAAGTTAAGTTTAAGAAATAATAGAAATATTATTTAATTTACCAAATACTTTTTTGGTGTGGCAACTAACCGTTGAAAGACTTTTTAAAAAGTTCTAAAGCTTTAATTATATTCTTAATACTAACTCTTCAAAGTTTATTATAGCTTATATAGCCAACTTCCAACCAAGTTTCCGCTTTTAAAATCTCTGTGAATTTCCATAACACCCTCTTGTTTTCGAGCGAATCCCTTGCAATTGCGATAATGAAAGGCTCTTTGGCAGGACTATCAATAGAGCTGTCCTCGAGCGAGCCACCCCCTTGTGTTTAACCCCCCCACTCTGAGTCCGCTTAACCCACGTTGGCCCTCATAAATTTGTTGCATACCGAAGGGCGCTGGAGCGTCTGCAGCCTTGACAACTGCAAGTGGCATTAGTTGTAGCAAATCCAACGGACAACAATTACAATTGCAGACTTTGCATTACTTTTCCCTAGTACAAGGGATTTGCATTTGTTTGCTAATTGAAATTAAGCAAATAATACGAAGCGAGACTTCCACCCACGTAATCCGTTTGTAGCGCATTAAAACGAGAAGGGTTCGCAGAAAACACAAAAAAAAAAACAAAAAAAAAAAAACGAGGAAAAAAACCAAAAGGGTTTCGTTTCGGGTTAAATAATTTAAATCCATTTGTAAAACATTTGATGCTGCCCTTTGGCAATTGTCACGCCCTTTTTCTTCCCTTTATTTTTTGCCCTACGTTTTTCCAGCCGATAATTAGTATGGAAAAGGTCCTTGAAATAATCAAATGTTTAAAAAAGATTTGCCAAAGTAAATCCCAAGGAATTATTTGCCACTTGAAACGTTTAAAAATGTCAAACAGGAGGATGGCCGAAATGAATGAATGAATGGATGGATGGATGGTTGGATGGATGCCTGCAAGACGTTGCTGATGAGGGTGCCCAAAAGACCTTAACCCACCACCGCCCCCAGTTGTCAGATTTTTTTTTTCTCGCTTTTTGTCGAGGGGTCAGACAAACTTAATGAGCAAATTGTCAAATGCCGCGGCAAAGCGCGCACTTAGACATGCGCGGAAAAATCCCCAAGAAAAATAACTTGGGCAAAAGTAAAAGTTGCCGGGGCTTTGAATAAACAGTTACGCTGATTTAATTTGCCAACAGAAAAAAATCAAAAAAAAAAAAAAAAAAAAAAACCGAAAATAGGAAGAAGAATGAAGGCGAAGGAGAATTCTATCACAGTATGTTGTCTGTCACCCTCGATTTGATTTTTAAATTGCGTTCGTGATAAATTGACGAAATGAACAGCAATAACGGCGGCGAGAAAAAATCTCAAGCAAAATTGACAACTGTCAAGACTGTCTGCCGTCTGGGCCTCCTTCGCGTTCGACGCCCCTGGACGTCCCCCCAATAGACATATAAAAATTAACTACAGACTACTTATCTTATTTGTTGATGCCAAGCCCCAAGGACCAAGGACCAAAGACCAAAAACCAAGGGCCAGGGACCAAGAACCCAGCGCCCGGAAGCTGGCTACAAAAGTTTGTCAGCGGCTTTTGATGTGTCCTTTATATGGATACGTTAATGTATGTATGTGTGTGTGCGTGTATTGTGTGTATATTTGGGCACAATATGCGTGAAACAGGAAGAAAGCAATCAACGCGAATGATACGCCAAATGGTAATGACCAAAAGCGGAAAAAAGATAAACGATCCAACAATCTTTCTTTTTCAATCTGTTTTTGATACTTTTTCATAAACAGCTTAAAGCAAAATAATATAAAGAAGTCTAAAAAATATATGACTGATCTTATAAGAGGGGTTTCTAATTTAAAAGTTTTAAGCGGACTTAACTCATTGATATTTTTCTAGATTTAAGTAAGTAATAAGGTTTCAAACTCACCCCTTCCACTCCTGCCAACAAATCGCAGATCGTTGAACTTGGCCACCTGATTCTTCATCACCGCCGTACAATTCCTCAGCTCCCCGCAGAAGTTCTCATCGTTTCCAGCCCTTATGGTGACTATAGTGCCATCCATGACCTCGCCCAAAGCCAACACCTTGAAGGCGATCGGTAGGGTTTTATTTGAGCGCCAGTGGGTGGGCAAGGTGGTGCAGACCTGTTGGTAAATTATTCATTAGTTTTAGAAAATAATAATATAAGATAAGAAATCCTTAATAAGACAATAATAAAGGCTTGAAATATTAATAATATTGAATTGAAGGTTTATTTTATGCTGATTTTTTTACTTGATTGAAAATAAGATTATTACTTTTGCTAAAATTTAATCAAGCAGCTTGCTTTACAATACAAGTACCGTTTAGTACACCTTATTATTATTATTATCTTTGAAAGTATATAGATTTTTTGTACTCACCACATGTGGTGACCCCGTCTTGACCAGCTCGCCAGGATGTTCGGCGAGGAGGACATCGACGGTGCGCTCGATGAGGTTCTCCGGGGTCAAGTAGGGACTCGTGTCCACGGGCTTTGTTTTAACATTATTATTATTTGTGTTGTTGTTGTTCGTTGTCGTATTGTTGTTGTTGTTATTCGTTGTGGTGTTATTGTTGTTGTTGTTTGTGCTGGAATTGTTGTTATTGTTGGCAGAGGACTCAGCATTTCGCCGCTTCGTTGTGGTCGTTGTTGCTGTCTGTTGTTGTTGCTGCAGCAACTGATGTTGCTGCTGGTGCTGGTGCTGATGCTGCTGCTGCTGGTTTTGCTGCTGCTGCTGCTGCTGGTGTTGCTGCTGCTGCTGCTGCTGCTGTTGCTGCTGTATTTGATTTGAGGTGGTCGAACTGACCTCAGCAGAAATGTGCATTATTGCAGCTGCTAGCTGGGCACAAGGTATTTCAGGGCCTCTCTTTGGTTGCCAGTATTCAGTGGATTCAGTTGCCGGCGGGTTTCGTGGGTTTCTGGTTTGATTTCAATGCCTGCCTCAAAGAGTCGACGCTTTCAATCCGATCATTGTCAGCTCATTTGGTCAATCTGGAAAATTAATGTGGACTGCGAGTGAATTTCGGATTGCCAACGATTTTTCGCGCAAGCGAGAAATGTTCTTTTCACTCAATTCTCTCAAAGAATTCTCTCGAATTTCTCAAGCAGTAATTGTTTTGTTTTTAACAGAAAGAAAAAAAACGCTAGGCTTCTACAATTTGCTTTTCAATTTAATAGAAATTTAACTTGATTAGGATTTTATCAGTACAACAGTTGGATTTTCATTGATGAATAACTCTGATTAAAATTGCTCACATAATAACTAATATTCCATTTATTTTTATTCCTCTAATTTTGAATTAAGAAAACGTTTTTTGGAACACCATCACTGTTAATTTTTTCCCAGATTTCACCGCTTTTGTTGATTTCTTCTTTGTTTTCCCGTTTGCTGCCCGCATAAGTATGCTGCACTTTTTGTTTATTGCCTGCAGCGACAACAGCTCAATTATTATTGCACTTTGACCCCGGGGGGTTCGAGGACACAAAGGACTCGGATTGAGATCCTGAATCCGAATCAGAAACAGAAACTGTTGCTGTATAGTATTGCTATCTGGAAACCAAACTGAAGCCAAGCGAATCCAATCGAACCGAATCGAATCGAATCGAATGGAATTGAATCGCAGCGAACCGCACACCTTTGCGCACAATTTGCATTTAAGCCGTCGCCGGCGAGTGCAGCTCAATTAAATATTAAAAAATCATAACCGATAATGAGGAATTTCGTGCCGTAGGCTGGGCCCAAACTAAGATGCACAATGCATCTGTGTGCGGCGGCAAAAATGCATTGCATTGCATGTCCATCAAATGGCGGAATAAAGCGCTGAAAAACGGGGGAAAAAATTATCGAAAGCGCCAGATGTTGCCGGCTTGTGTTTGGCCACCAAAAAATCAACAATGCCCAGCCGGTCACTTTTGTTTAAATAAAAAAAAAGACAAAAAGAGTTGCCGGACACAGCCGCGTTTTGTTTTCACTTTGCCGTTTATTTTGTTCGCCAACTATTTTCAGGATGGATGTTTTTTCAAGCTTTAAGGTTATGTTAATGATTGCGATTATTGCACGTTTAGTTTAAAGTTAAAATTATAATAAAACATTATAGATAAAAAAAACTAACAAGTGAATTGATTGTCATTTATATCAAGTAAAAGTTTTTAAAAAATTGTACAAAATACAACACTTAGTAAAAACGTTGCAAATCATTTCAACTTAAATTCTAAACAACACAACAACAATTCCAAAAGAATATATACTTATTAAAATTTATAATTGTACTCTAAAAGATTAAATTAACATTTTGCAATAAAAGCAACAAAAAAAGAAAACGAAAGGGTATTTAAACCCTCGAATCATTAGAACCTTTGTAATTTCCTTCATGTTTTGTTATGTAGTTGCAAGTGTTGCACAAATACAAGCAGCCCCAAAGATATAAATATATATGAATATAAGCGCTGCGTATACGCGTTTTTTTACAACTTCCGCTCTGAAATAAATACGTGTGTGTACGTGTGAATTAATATATATATATGTATATGCACATATTTATATGCATTTTTTTGCCCGCTGCCGAATGCAGATGTCCGGCCAAATGAGCTGGCCAAGCGACTATGTGGCGACATATGTGGCCACAGATGAGGGGAAAGGTGCGGGAGTGGGTCCGCCGAAGTCGGTCTATATAATTGGTTAACAAACAAGTCGGTTGTGAGGCTAGCCACACAATTAGACCAACAAATGTAAATGAACCCGTGGGAAAAATAAGGATTTATGCGCCGCTGTGGGACTTAGAAAATCAAAACAATTGACTTTAAAATTGTGATTAATGCCTCTACTTTCAATGTGAAACTTTGATTGCAATTGAAACTGAAATCTTAAAAATACACAACAGTTAATTGATAACTTTAAAAAATTAACAATTTTTGTGGTATTTCATAAGTTATAAACCAGAACAACAATTAATTGATTTATGATTGCAAATCATTTTTTAGTATCGTTTCAATTTTAATCATGTGCTCAAATGATTGATCACTTTTGATGTGTGGTTGATGAACGATCATACCGATAACATACCTGCAAAATAATTCTCTTTGTGAGTTAAATTTTTAATATGTATTATTGTTTCTCCCAGCACCTACATTAAGTTGAATTTCTTTTGTATTTTAGTTGCCTTCTTTTGTTAGATCACACTGCGAGCACTTCAAAAAAATGATCTAATTTCGGCCAGACCTTTTCGATTTTGGGCTTTCTAATTGTGGTATTTTTATTTAGCCACACACGGGCACACACACACGCTAACGCACACAGACGCACTGGCACAGACACTGGCACACATATACGGGGGCTGAGACTGGCGATCGGATCAAACGACACGGAGATATTAAACTATTTTTTTGCGGTAACCATGAACGCGACCACTACGAGCGGTTGGCAACGCCGACCACCGACGCCGGCAGCGACGTCGACCGCGACAGCGATGCCGACTGAGGACCCCACGAGTTTGGAATAGAACGAGCGTAGCATTCAGCAGCATCCAAAAGTAACGAAGTCTCACGCAGCGCAGCGCTCACGAAGTCGCCGCCGGAGGATGCAAAAGACGACGGACGGCGAAGGAGCGCCGGCGACGCCTCATCATAATCACAGGCGAAAAGAAGCAGGACCAACCTCCCACCAAAACACCCAACCCCCTCGTCCTGTTGCAGCAACACCACCCCACCGCTCCCCAGGGGAACGTCTCTATGTCGACTCCTCGCTGAGCTGCTGGGGGTATATACAGTCAAGCGTCGACATGGAGGATTTTCTAAGCTATGAAAACATATAACATAAGATAGTTAAGATCCTTTATTCAAACCAAAAACTGTTTTGTTTATTTAGTTTGCTCTCTGTTCTATCATTAACTTGTAAACAAATAACTTATTTACTCAAAATCCGGCTCGAAGGACCAGTCTTTTCTGCTTAAAGAAATATTAAAAACCACGATATTTAATAAAAAGAATATTGAAAATTTGTTAACTTTTTCCCATTGCCAAAAGTTACCTAAGATAGAGGTAAGACCTTTTAGCTTAAAGTTCCACTTACTGCGGCTGCACTGTGGTGTTTTCTTGGCATTTTTTTCTTCATCTCTGGCGGTTGTTGTTGTTTTGGATGCTTGGATGCCGCCTCTCCTTCTTTTTGGCTTAACATTTACCGCGAGAACCAGTAGCAGCGGTTGTCGCTCGGCAGCGCAGTCGACGCTGACGTCGACGTCGGCAGCGACGCCGACCGAGGGAGGGTCAAGGGGCAAAGTAAACCGAAAACCGAAAACCGAAACCAGAAAACGTCAACTACACCACAAGCAGAAAGGCCGCAACGACGTCTTCAAGTTGGACGGAGTAGAACCACCTACCTCGCCGCCCACTTCACCACTTACCACCCCCTGAAAAAAAGGGCAACCCACCACGGGTCTTAGAAAAATTGCGCTCAATTTTTTGGAGCACTCTGGAAAAAAAGCGCCAGGCGAGAGTGAGAGGTAAACAGCGAGAGCAAAAGAGACGGACGAGCTTCTTGAGTTTTTCCCAAGGCTTTCCTATGCATTTCCATTTTTTTGTCCCCCTTTTTTTCTGTCTTGCTTCAACCCCCAAAAGAATTTCGTCTTGGAAAGGACTCAAAAAAAATCTCATCTCGAAGGAGGAAGAAAAAAAATGAAAGCAAAAGCAAAGCGTCGGAGACGCGGCTTTGTGGCAAACCAGGAATTGGTAAGCCAGCGCGAAAGAGATGGCAATTTGTTGGAGCAAGCGAGAAGGCCGATATCTTGCGGCTGCCATTTGTGGCCAAGAAAACCCGAAGAATGAGTGAAAAATCGCAACCACATGGGGCCAAAAACGCCCGCCTATCCAAAGAAAAAAAAAAAATAAGAAGTAAGAAAGTGAAGAAAAAAAATCCCTACAGGGCGGTGCTAAATACTTCCTTGGGTTTTTCGGTTTTTTTGGTTTCTGTGTTTTCCTTTTTTTTTTTTTTGGTTTTTCACATTATTTCGTAGGCCTTGCAACCCTCCTTCGTTTTGCGGTTTCTTCGAAAAGGGGGTTAAGTGCGGCTCGTGGGTTAAGGGGTGGTGCTCGGTGTGCTTGTGTTGGTGTCAGCGGTTGCGCACCACCAAGGCTCATTGTGTGCCTGTGTGTGTGTGTGTGTGGTTGGGCATTATGAAACCGCAGGAATTATTACACGCTGCGGTCGATTACTATATCAAAACTCCTCTAATCAGGCATCTGTATTGGGCAGGGCGGCTCACACATACACGCTCTCACACCATCGCATAACCACAACCACTATTGCAACCGCACACACACACACATAAACACACACCGGCATACACACACACTTTGATAGCCAACCAAAACTACGCGTTCCGCTTGAGTCGATGCAGCCAATGAGCGGATTTCGATTGCCAAGCCGCTCGCAAATTCACCAGCCAGCGGATTCGATTCGGCGGGAAAATCCCGTTGGGGCCACGGGGAAAATGGTGGAAAGCTGGCAGAAGGTCACCGAGGAAACACGCTCCACGAGCAAATGAGGGGACAAGCCGTAACTAATTGGCATCGCTTTGAGCCTTGATATTATCAATCAATGCAGCAACTACGATGAATGCATTTATATATAATACAGTTTATAAGAGCTATTTTGGATAAATATTTCTTAAATACTAACACTATTGAATGAAGTAACGATAGTATAAAAATAAATAGCCGATATACTATATATTTTAAGCCAAGCTTAATTTACCATTACCTACTTTTTCTAAAAAAAGCGTTTCACCTATTTGTTCTAAAATAAAAGTTAAAACTACAATATTTTCTAACTTCAAGGTTTTCAAATAATCATTAAAGTAAAGCAATTTTTTTTTGCTAAGTTTTATTTGTTGTTGGTTGAACACTCTTGAAGTCTGTAGAAATTTAGCAGCCCTTTGATTTATTTTTGTAACTAATTTGCCCCCAATTAGTAGATTTCCACATGTGTGACATTGTCGCCAGTTTGAATAAGTTCTGTGTGCTTATCATTAGCCGAACACTCTGACACACACGTGGAGCTTATCGATGACACTCTTTTCGCTTTGCCACCCCTCCCCCGAAAACGAGCCTTCAAAAACCCCTCCTGAAAAGGCCGCCCCTGCCAAAGAAACCGAGCCAATTAAAACGATAAACCAAAAATGCCCAGCGGCGTCACCAAAGAGGGTAAATAATAATGAGAACTGAAAGAGAAGTAAAGAAAAGGAAAAAACTGTAGGAAAATAACGATTTTTTACTTTCCACTTCCATTTTCCTTGGCTTTCATGCTTTCAACACAGAGAAAAATTTTGGAAACTGGTCGGGAAAGGTTTTTTCAATTTTTTTTGAATTGTAATTTTACAAGCATGTGAATAAAGAAAAACTATAAGTATGAAATCAAGGTTTAAATTATTTTTTTGTGTTATATTCAACTAATAAAAGAACATAGAAAATATGTTTTGGAAGTAAATATAAATATTAATATTCTTAAAAAGTATTTTGATGGATTGGTATGCATGTCTAAATTGTGACCATTTTAAAACCCAAATTAATTGCATAACTTTACGGTGTAATATTTTTTTTTTTTCTCCGTAGTTAGAGGCAACGAAAGGCGTTCAAGTTGCAAAGACCGCTAAGCAACGACACCAGCACCACTGCCCACCAACCGCCCAGCAACCCCACCCACCAACCACTCAGCCCCTCGAAAGAGGAAGGACAATTATGAAGCAAGTTGGTCGGCGGAAGCTCAAGGAGCAAAGGAGCGAGAGGTCCTTGCTGCCGCTGTAAGATTTTGTGCAAATAATTCTAAAGTGGAACGACAATGGCTGGCAAAGCGGCGGCAAGTGCCACTGAAGTGGGTGAGTGGGTGAGTGGGTGAGTGGGCGGTGGGTGGTGCAGGTGACAAGGCGGTACGACACTCTTCAGAAACCCTCCGAAGGAAGAAAGGGTATTATTTATTTACCCAGCACATTTAAACTACCTTTTCTTTTATTGATAACACTTTATATAAATTTAATAATACTAAGAAATTAAAAATCGATTACTTGTTGCACCCAAATTCGTTAGAAATGACAAAAAATGAATAAAAAAGGAATTACAAATTGGGAAAACACTTTGGTTCTCAAAAATGTGATCTTAGCAAAACTAAGAATTTGGCAAAAATTGATCAGTTTTAAACCAAATTTTTTCTAAGTATTTTAAAGGGTAAATGGTATTCAAATAAAATCCCATTCTTTTTGCCTACCATTCGTCCTTTTGTGTTGATTTTTCTTTTAATTGTTGCGGATTTGCATTCTGACACATTTGTCAACCTCAACAACAAAAAAAACAAAGGAGGGGAAGTGGCGGGAAGACGGAGTGGGGCAAGGTTTGTTTATTATTTATTAGCCTCAGTCCGAAAAGGGATGGAGGACATGTGAGGACATCCGCTGGGATAATAATAAACACCAGGGGACAAAAGACGGGGCCAAAGGAGGAAAACCCCCAGTCAAGTAATTTGTCAACCAGCCAGCAGCAAAAACAACTATGAAAATTCCCACACTGGAAAAGAATATAAAAAACTTTAAAGGAATTAGTTTATCCCAAAAAAAAACATATTTTAAATGGATATATTACCCCCATTTTAAGATAATACAAATTAATTTAAGCAATTAATATTAATTCCCGAATTTAACATTTACTTCCCCACAATATACAATATTCAACATTCGTTATGTGGCAAATTTTCTTTCTGTGTATGCACACGAACACCTGTTAAATTATGTGTGTGTTTTGAGTGACATGTGTCAAAACTGAAAAACTACGCGAATTTGTGTCAAATACCCTTGTCAGCGCGTTTCAAGTGCAATAACACTTTGCCCCAACAAAAACACAGCAGCTCGCTTAACCCCATATATCCCCTTTGAGGCCCAGACCACCCCTTAACCCCTTCCGCCGCCTCTTAGCCCATCATAAAGACAAAGATAAATACCGGACAGGTGCAAAAAGTGAAGTGGAGTATTTCAGAGTGTGCAGAAAGTTTTGGACTTTTCGAGGGGACACGGAAGTTGTTGATACATATCAGTTTAAAATGAAGCAACCATCTGAAAAAATATAAAAAAATTCAAAAATATACAATACAAATAATAGAATGTATTCCCTTTAATCTTTTTGAGCTTTATTTTTGATTTTGCCTGTAACCATTTCCATTATATTCTCATAAAAAAATCAAAATACAATTTTAAATTGTTTTACATTTTTCGTACACTCTAAAGTTATTTGGCGAATTCCCAGGATAATCTCATACAAGTGCAAGGACATTCCGGGGGTGAGAGGGTCAAAGGTCACGCACTGTCTCAATCGTTCCACCCTCGAGTTAAACGTCGCCGATTACACACATGGGAGCTGTAAACCGCGTTTTATGATTTCTTTTTCCTTTTTTTTTATGGACAATTCCGTTGATAGACCCCTCCTTAAAATAGATCAGCAAAAAAAAAGTGCGAAATTTGTGCAAATTGCAGTTTTGCCATTAAAATTTGTTCATTCCCTTTTTTAAGACGAAATATGGGATATGAGTGCTTTGGTGGTTGATTGCTTGGGGTGATATGTGGGCAGTTCCTTAGTTTCGGATACCATAACTCATATGCTTTTTATTATTTATTGTGACAAAACTTGGTTCTTAGCATCTCAATAACAATAAAGAAAAACAAGTATATAAATTGGATGCTTTTCAAAATATTGTTTTTAAAGAAGATTTTTAAACACACTTTAAGAATGTCAGATTATATGTTTACATTCTTCCTTTTTAAATATTAAACTGTCAATATGTGACTAAATTTTATATAATGTGTAGTGTTGCAACTACATAATATTGATTTTTATTTTTGTTTTGAAATTAATTAAAAACTCTGTAAACTTATTTATTTAATTTATTATGAATGTATCTTTTCAGTACTCAACGCTTTTAACACATTTCCAAAGAGCCTTTTATTTCTCTTTTGCGACATCCAATCCATAAAAAGTGAGTCGCAAAAAAGTGCCAAGCTTGTGGTGCGTGCTAAGCATAGTTAAAGACCAGATCCATATTTGTTTTAATGGCCACAGACATGGATATGGACCTGAATCGGAATCCGAATAGGAATCGGAATCGGGTGGATTCCGGATGACAATAACCATCGGGATAATAATAAGCGACAGATAACCTTAATAATGACCAGAAGCGTCAAGGAATAACAAAGGAGAATATCCTCAGTAGAGAATGCCGGTGGGTAAGGGCCGATACGTGCTCGATATTCAATAACCACTTGGGTGAAGAGGCCAAGGGATCAGTGTTGCCAACCTAAAAATGTCAAGCAAATCGAAAAAAAACAAGCTAAGAAGAGCGGGATTTATTTTAACTTTGCCTGGTATGTTGCATTTCCAGCCGTTAAGGAAAAGAGCCAAATTGGTAGCCCTATGGCGACCATGGCAATGGGGCTCAATAAAAAATAGAATTGAACATTTCCGGGTGGACAACGCTTATGGCAACCGTGTGGGCAACCGGACAACGGCCCATGACTGACCCATTCAATTAAGCATGAAAAAAAGTTGGAAAAAATGGAGAAGTGGCGCAGGACGTGGCCCGCCTAGTCCATAAAAAAAGGACATCACTTAAGGAGAAACTCGGACAGTGGCCGCAACAAAACACGCATCACTTGTCACACATACTTAGCAGAAAAGGGTGGGGGTGGAAAAAACGGGAGGCGGAAAGGACTTCCTCCTCACCAAAAAAAAAAAAAAAATCCCCCTCATGTCCTGGTGGTGTTATTGAGGTGTAATACAATTTTTTGCCATGATACCCCATAACAATGGCTAAAACAGAAACGGAGACAAAATAAACCGTTCCAGTTGTAACTTTTTGGGAGTTTCAGCGCACTCAATTCACAACGTTAGTTTAAAAAATTACTTCGAGAAAATAAAAAGCATATCTTAGCTTTTAAATCAATAGCTTTAAATTAACATTACTTCAAAGAAACTTGTTTTAGTCTGCACTTTTGTTTCCAGCATTATAAAAAATTATTTTTTTTCTCATATGTTATAGGTTAATTTTTAAATAATTTTAATTAAGGGGATTTAGTAGAACAAAGCAATACAGATATTAGGCTGGATTTCTTAAGTTAAATGTTTATGCATTTCCTTTTTTTCCAGGGAACTCAAAAGTCGAACAACTGGCGAAAGTCTGTTACAGACTGAGGAATCGAATCAGAAAAGGTTAACGAGTCCCGGGCACATATGGCGGCATTAGTTTGAGATCCGGAATGCGGGATGGGGAGCATCCAATCGTGGACAACGCATAAACTTGCAATTGAGCCAATTTGTAAAAGTGCGGCAAGCCCATTAAGATGAGGTCCTGGCAGTCGGGTCCTGGAATCGAACGGCGGCGAGGACACCTGCTCCCCGTTCCAGTTTCACCCCCATCACATACGAGTATATGCCGGATATCGCCCGACCAAAAGGAAACTTTTGTTGGGCATCTACTTTGCATTACAAGCGCCCACATTAAAATTAAAATAAAGTTTTCCTGGGGATATATTGCCCTTTCAGTTCCGTTCAGTCCCTTGCCTTTTGGTTACTCGGCTCCTTTGCCCTTTTCGTTCCGTTCGTTTTTTTTTTTTTTTTGTGCAACTACAAATAAATCTAAAACTCGCACATTTCTGATGGATACTTACACTTAAACTCACACACAAGGACACAAAGGATACGGGTCGGCCGCAGTTGGCCATTCGCAGTTTTATTTTTGCATTTACATCTGCCCACATGCATTATGCATACGTACTTATATATCTGCCCGGGAATATATAAATACATATGTGAAGGAAGTCTGTCCATCGGCGTGGAAAAGGTCCTTCTGCACACCCTTTTTAGAGGATTATGTTTATCAACGCTAAAAAATTAATTCTTTTTTGTTCAAATGTATATAATATTCATTTTTAAAAAAAAACTTGATAGTGAAAACTCAAAACAAATATCTTATATCTCGTATGTATAGAGCATTACCACTTCCGTAAGGATATTTTCCACCACTCCCATTAGAGCTTAACTTCGCATTTCTTGTTAAATTTTATGTTCAGTTGCGTTCTTTGTCCTTTGTTTTATCTTTTTTCCCAGGATACACTTTGGACTTTAAAACAAAGCGCTGGGCACAAAAACAAAAAAGGGGCAAAATAAAAATAAAGTATGCAAAAAGTGAAACAAAAAAGAGCTCCGGGCACAAAGGATGCAAAGGATACAATAATATCCTTAAGCTACGAATGCAACATGAATTTGTCTTTGCTCGACCGGACTTCTCGACCTTTTCCCTCGTTCTTCGAGTTGCCTTGGCGAGGCCAGAAAAAAGATAAATAAATGTACAGCCATATATGGGGAAAGTAAAAAAAAAAAGTCAAAAGTAAAAAGGATACTCGAACTTTACAAATGCATGCACATTAGAGAGATTTACATGTGTGTTCGTGTCTCTGTGTGTGTGTGTGGGTAAGCGGGGAAAGCTTCCACATGCGACGCATAAGATTACTACCCACACACTCGAAAAGCCAACGTCCTTTGGTCCTTTTTGCCTTTGCCTTTTGCTTCGACACTTATTTGAATTTATTTCATTTTCATTTATGTACAACGCTTCAAATGTCCTTTCCCTGTGTTGCCCTCTGTCTGTGTCTGTGTGTAATTAAATAAAAACGACCTTAAAGCCTCACCCACACGCACGCACCTCGATGGGTTTGAATTCTTCGGCAAGCTTTTACTTTAATTGCCCAAAACAGCTTGAGATTAACGAGATATACGGGTCTGAAGATCCCGAGTGCAGGTTCATAGAAGTCTAAATGATTTGGAAGTAAAAAATCATGATAAATCGATCACCATTCAAATTTAAAATATATTATATTTAAATATATATTTGACCAGATCCCAGCACTTCTAAACCTCTAACTTTTCTAATTTTTACCCGATTTACAAGTGGTATATCTCTAAGAATTTGTTACTAAAATATCTATCAAGCTGCATTATCAGCTTATGCAATTAATGTATTTTATTTTTTGGTCGATGTTTTTCCATTTTTTATGATGTCAGCTCTTTCAAAATTTGCAAAAATGAATCAGCAGAAAAGTGACCAAATCCCAATACACCTATACCCACAACTTTTATAATTTTTATCCGATTTACAAGTGGTCTCTATGAATTTTTTATTTAAATATCTATCAAGCTGCTTTATTAGTTTATTTTCGATTTTTTGGTCGATGTTTTGTCATTTTTTATGAACCTCACCCACCCCAACTTTCAATTGCAAAATTGCAAATTGCAAAAAATTGATATTTCAAATAGGACCTCTTGGCGCCATCTAACGGACGTATATAAAAAGCGTTATAATTTGAAATATAAAAGGTGGCGCCAGAGGGCGACACTTCTTATCTGAATCCGTTATAACTTGTTTTCCGGATTTTAATTTTTGAAATTTAGACGAAGTTTACTTATCAATTAAGGGTAATTTAGCTCTAACTTCACAAAATTCAAGACATTATATGTTCGCAAATGTGACCAGCTGCCAGCGATAGTCGTCGAATCGGTGGAGCTATCGATGCTTTGCCCATCGCTAAACATCACGCCATCCCACCTCTAATTTCATTAGGTTCGGGGTTAAAAAAAAAACAAGACAAGACAAGTTTGTACTTAAAAAGTACGGCGTATATCAGCGACGAAGAACGCAACTACCCGCCAAGTGAGCGTCCGATGCAGAAGCGATCCGCCCGAGGATTGAGTCCGGAATCCGGAGGAATCCCGGCGAGGATGTGATGTGCGCACTGGCCCTTCTCCGCTGGTCGATATAAACTCGTGCCCCCCTCTTTTCTCCGCTCTCCCGCTGTCCACCGACCGCCCATCCCCCTGCACCGGGTCCCAATCCTCCAGAGAGCACTCCGCCTTCGCCTGGGAACGTTTTCCAGGGAGCACGAGTGCAGGAACCAGTGAACCCGGAAAGCCACTAGAAACTGAAGTGTCTTGGCTGAAAGTCGGGGAAACAGAAGAGCCAGGATTAAAGGATTATATACGGAGAGATCTGGTATATTGCTCGGATTCCGGATAGAAAATTCCCCGGGAACCAAAAGCCAAGATATCGGAAATCCACAGAATCTTGGTCAGAAACTTGGAACTAAGCAATACAGCGAGAAGTCTGAACCAATAAAAACTTGGGAGTAAACTTATTATATTATATAGGGAACACAACTTAATCCACTGGAGACTTCACCACAAATCTTCGACCCAGCCGCCTGAAAAACAGGAAGCTGCATCAGACACCGAGGTCAGGATCTTTAGGGTCCCTGGGAGCCCAGGGAGATGGCCTCCGCATCGCTGGACGCACTGCAGGCAGAGTATGTGGACTTCAGTGAGCTAACACTCAGGGAGGTGCGTTTCTATAACTTTGATTGCGCTCTATACCTTTGTGAATCCCTTTTTAATGGTCTTCCCTTCCAGAAAGTCGGCCATGGTTCCTACGGCGTTGTCTGCAAGGCCGTCTGGCGGGACAAGCTGGTGGCCGTCAAGGAGTTCTTCGCCAGCGCCGAGCAGAAGGACATCGAGAAGGAGGTGAAGCAGCTGTCGCGCGTGAAGCACGTCAACATCATCGCCCTGCACGGAATATCCTCGTACCAGCAGGCCACCTACCTGATCATGGAGTACGCCGAAGGGGGTTCCCTGCACAACTTCCTGCACGGCAAGGTGAAGCCGGCATACTCGCTGGCCCACGCCATGAGTTGGGCGCGTCAGTGCGCCGAGGTAGGTCATAATCACAGCGCTTTTATCGCAGGGCCAATCCTTAAAAAGTTAACTTTCAATGGAAGCTCTTCCCTTTCGAATTCCGTAGAATTAACCTATTAAGCAAATAAATAAAATGATTTCAGTTAGCTATAGGTGAAGTAGAAGTCAATATTGTGATTAGATGTTCAACACTTGTTTATTACTTTACTAAATTTTACCTGATAACGTTTCCCTTTTTTTTTAAGGGACTAGCTTACTTGCACGCCATGACGCCGAAACCTCTGATCCATCGGGATGTGAAGCCGCTGAACCTGCTGCTCACCAACAAGGGACGCAATCTAAAGATCTGCGACTTCGGAACGGTGGCCGACAAGTCCACCATGATGACAAACAATCGTGGCAGTGCCGCCTGGATGGCTCCAGAGGTCTTCGAGGGCTCAAAGTATACGGAGAAGTGCGACATCTTCAGCTGGGCCATCGTGCTGTGGGAGGTTCTGTCCAGGAAGCAGCCCTTCAAGGGCATCGACAATGCCTACACCATTCAGTGGAAGATCTACAAGGGTGAGTCGTTATCTCTTGCAATAAAGTTAGAGAAGAAGCGGGAGGCAAACAACAGAAATTCAAGTATAAACGTACTAACGTATATTTCTGATTTTTAGGTGAACGTCCGCCGCTGCTGACGACCTGCCCCAAGCGCATTGAGGACCTGATGACCGCCTGCTGGAAAACGGTGCCCGAGGAACGCCCCTCGATGCAGTATATAGTGGGCGTTATGCACGAGATCGTCAAGGATTATACGGGGGCGGACAAGGCCCTCGAATACACGTTTGTTAATCAACAGGTCAGTAGGCTCTTCGTTATGGGATGAATCCTTAAATGATCCTCGAATCCTTTACAGATTGTCACCAAAGAAAGCGACGGCACGGTGGCCGCTCAATCGGACAGCCTCAGTTCGCTGGAGGAGGAACCGAGCCCCTCGTCCACACAGTTAACACCGACAACGGCGGCGAACGCCAATGTGAACGCGATAGCAATAACAAATACTAGCTCAGTAACCGAAAATACCTCATCAACATCATCGGACATCACGCCGACGAACTCGGGCCAACTTGACAATAATCCGCTTTTCCATATGGTCAGCAATCGGTGGGACGCGATCCCCGAGGAGGATAGCAACGAGAGCCGCAACGACAGCTTCAACCTCACCTCCTCGGCGGAGGCCACTCAACGCCTCGAGACGATCCGCAACGGGATGATCTCGATGGCCTGCAAGCCGATGGAGCAGCTCACACTCGACGTGGAGGCGGTACGTCTAGTGATATGCATTATATATTACACATAGAATTATTAGTTAATGTATTACTGGATCTCTCTGGCCTTTATTTATGTTTAGATATTACTAATATGCGTTGTACGAACCAGTTAAAGTTATACCACCAACTTACGTGTAACCTTTTTATCTTGTTAACTGAAGCAACATCTTTTGTTTATATATCCTTCGATTTCTTTTACAGAACGGCTTCGATGTGAGTCGCAGCGAGAGCAGCAGCAGCAGTACGCACGGTGAGTTTTCCCACCAAATTGCTTGACTCTATTAACCCACCTGCTGTCCGTTTGTTTTCCTCCGATTTTCCGTCGTCTGTGTCGTGAATCACACGCACATCGGCGACAAGTCGAGAGACACAATGGCGTGGTTTCGATTTTATAGAATAAATTATAATTATAAAGAAAATGTCTCTGTCCGCTAATTGTTCGTTAATCTATTTCAATCCCCAAAGGGATCATTTTCTCAAATCACTGCGGATTTCTCAACTGGTAACAACGAACTTAACGATAACAGCTTTGAGTTCTAAACAAATTGTGGAGTTATTAGAAAAGGTGGCTTATAAATTATTTAAAATTGGTTGGACTTGCACAATATTACAATATATATTTACTACTAAGTTATTTTAAGGTGGTAATCGCTTTAAAACATACATAGTTTACATTACTGTGAAACAAAAAATGCACTAGATGATTTTACAAACTATAGATTAGGAGATCTAAAAGTCGACTATATCCCCCCAAATAAATATCCGCAGGTCACTCTTACTTGATTCTCGCAGCTTGACGCATTGTGTCGAGTCTTGTGGCACGACAGCTGTTGGATTTTGGCCCATTGGCCGTTCGTTCGGCAATTTGGCTGTTAAATTTTTGGCTTTTAGCCGCAGGTGACGCATGTTGGCCATGTGTAAACAATGCGCCAGCCATCTCTATCCTGCACTCAATGTTCGGTTAATTAGCCGCCGCGGTGTTTGTGTATAATGCACAAGGAATCTTCTGAACAATTGTCAATGTCTCTGGCTGTGCGGCTGCATAAATTGTAAATATTTAGTGCGCTCATTCGGATCGGCGAATCTCGAACGCCTTGGGCATATATAGTTGGGATAGATCGGGAAATAAAATCAGGATTTTTAAATTACAAAATGTATTTTGTGTACGTGCTGAAACCACTTTAATTGCTATGCCAAAACTGGAGGGATTATTTATATATAAAAAATTCCTTCAAGCAAACCTATTCAATTATATTTGAAATACACAAAACTATCAAGAGTTATATATAAATCTGAGCTGATTTGATCAGTAACCTATATACTCTTAAGCGGATCCACGGTATCGCTCCCCGAATAGTTGCACAAAATTTCGCTGCACAATTAAATAATTTGTAATTTGTTAGCCTGGCAATTTCGGGACAGATTTATAGCCGAAGGCATGCTCCGTCGCTGCTGGCCGGCGAGCATAAACAACAACACCCCGCTAGGATCGGGGGAGAGATCGGGGAAGATATAGGCATATAGGAACGCACACATGACGATGCGATCGCCACGGACTTTTGGGCATCAGACCCCAGCAAAACATGACTCACCCGGCAATAATCTCACTTTTATTTCGATTTCGTCTATATGGCGCACACTCACACACACACACACACCACACACTGTACAAAACTTATATATAGATCGCGCATATAGCGGATATATGTACGTGCGCCGATGTTACCGATTTGTATAATCGGTGGGAGCCGTCATTTGGCTCTCGGTTGACACAGACGGACGAGATCTCCGACTTACACATCCCCCGACCAACTGCCACACAAACTAATATCCCCAAGATCATATATAGTATATAATGCATAGTATATAGTGTCTATAGTATATAGAACCCATGTAGTGCGCCAGCAATGTGTAAATAGTAAATGCATCAACGGCCAAGTCGAGATACTTTTCGGCTCTCAAAGATCTCGGAGTTCACCGGCTGCGTCAGACTTTTTACACGGCAAGAAAAAGGGTACTCGAATGTAGAATGCACTGCCTTTGAATATGAACTAGTGATAAAACTAAATTTAGTGGCTTAATAATGTAAAGAAAAATGGCAATTGCTGTAATCCAATTCAAACCTATCTGCTTTTAATCATCTCTGTGAAATATCTTTCTCTGCGTGTAGTAACCATTTTCCACTTTCCCCGAACGCCTTTTCCCCCGCGAGATTTCCCAATTGCAGATGCCAACTGCATTAATCATCGATTTCGATCAATGTTGTTCGCCGCATTCGCCTCGCCTCGAAGTTGAATGAATCTTCATTGGGTTTTGGTTCGTCATGGAACTGGTGGGTGGTTGTCTATTTATCGGCGGATCTCGATCGAAAGGGTTAGCTTTTCGCGACTCTACAGGGTGACACGATCTATGATTTACGATCTGGGTTTCGGGAACTCTTTAATAATTTTTCGATTTTCCGGGAAACGCCTTTAATAAATCGTCGGAAATTTATGGTCGCTACGTAAATTATGGCGTTTTACAAAACGGAATATTAATATTTTCTATAATCATTTTATGTTTTGATTAGTCATTACAATTTTTTAGTTACTAAATAGATTTATATAGATTTTATTTCTTTGCTGTTTCTGCTATTCTATAGTTTTTAACCTAGTAGCGTTTTTTTTTTCAAATAATTAATTGTTTTTACAGTCCGCTTCTTGACATGAAAATCTATTTTCGTGGGTTTGGGAAACTAAATTGTAATATTTCATCATATCAACTGGCGACGTTTCGCAGTATTTTATGGTAATCTTTATTTAGAAATTACTGAAAATGTTAAGTGATTGAGTGTGGTTCTTACAAATGATTCTTTTTAGTTTTAAGAGGAATATATGTATTTAGTAAATTTCTGGGCTGACTCACCGCCGTAGCCTTTAACCTCTGTGTTACTGCGTGTCCCAGACAAAGAAACCACTTAACCCACACAGTTTGGGGCGTTTTCCACCCCACCGAGTGGGTAATGATGCCACAGATTTTCGCTCTGGCCGCGTCATCGTATATAGATTTCCCCCGACCCGATCTATACCGCATATATATATATATCGAAGCGATCTTGCCACGTCTGCGGAGCGTTGAGAAGGCAATCCCCGGCGCGAGAATTGGCGCGTTTGTTTGCTTTACGGTGGACGTGGACGTCTCGGCTTTGGCCTCAGTCTGCGTCCGAGAGCCGTGCGATATTGAGTGCTGCGCGAGATGTTCCGGAATTCTCGGGATCGTCTGCAGCATCGCATCGCGAAACATTTTCGAAACGAACCTCCCGGCGTTTCCTGGCCAGGAAATACCCCTTAAAACCAAAGAAACCACCCAAATTCAAGTGAACTTTTCACACAACACTTGCACTGTTTGTTTGCGGTCTGTTTTTCACCCAAAGAAATACAATAAAATAAAATAAAATAAAATAAAGGAAAACAAAAAACGCAAAAGTGTTCGCTTGGAAAATCAACAAGCTGAACTGAACTGTATGTGCGGAAAACACGTCATCGCAGACTGAAAAACTGAGGCGGAAAAAAGCGAAAAAGAAAAGTGCGGGCCACGAACAATGTGAAGGATTTTCACCCGCCCATTAGTGTACAGCATTTTCCGATGCGAAAATGATACAGTCAGAGTGATACTCAGTCTGGTATCAAGCAAAGACTTATCCAACCCCTGGGATATATATTCGGTCCGATCCAGGAATCTCAAGATGTGCGACACACGCGCTTTGATCAACACCAAACAGACCAACGATCTGCACAGTTGTTGGATCATATACAGTAGGTGGTTCCTTAATGGCACTTCTTTTGGGATCTGCAATTTGGTTGAAATTATTTTTATTTTTGCTTTTATCTTAATTTTGTTGGGTAGTTTGTACCACCTAATACAACCTATACAACCTAAATTGTTTATTACGAATCTCCAAAACAAAAAGAAAGAATTTTAAAAAGCTTAAAATAAAGTTGAGAATTTTATATTGTTTTGGAACCCTAATTCATTTAAATATTAAATAACTTTAAGTGATCCTCACATCTCAATTATTTATTTTGAACACCAAATAAATTCTGTTCAAAATGAAAACATTTAAGTAATATAAATAAATTGTTTATGAATCAATTTGCAGCCAAAAGCGATGGCCGCGAGCGACTCACGGTGACCGACACGAAGCCGGTGATCCTGACCACGGATCTAACTAATAACAACAGCAACAACAGCGGCAGCCACGCCCACTCGAACGGACTGCTTAGCCATGTGAATGGGCGGCAGGCGGGGGATGAGGAGCTGCAGGATCACGATCAGGAGTTTGTCAACTCGCTGGACGTGGCAGTGGATCCGGACGAGGACGAGAACGACGGCACCGAGCAGTCGCTGGCCGAGATCCTCGACCCGGAACTCCAGCCGGAGCCGCCGATCCCCAACGATGCCGAGTCGCAGCTGATCTACCGGGAGCACCGACACATGGCCAAGGAGTACCTCAGCGTCGACACGAATCTGTACTACGCGCAGGACTTCAAGGAGAAGCTCATCGTCCAAATGGATCGCAGCGAGCGCGAGCAGAAGCAGGAGCTGCTGCGCAAGATCAAGGACAAGGTGAGCGAAGCCCTGTTTATGGTTAACAAAATACTTGTTATATTTATACAAATTTATGTAAGGGAAAAGCACCTTTACCAACATTCTTGGTGCCAATTTTGACTGTTTTTTGAGCCAAAACGTCCATAAATCAGCCAAAAATCATTTTTTTTAATGGGGAATGTTTTTCTTTAATTCTTTTCGACCCTTAAAAAGACTGCATATCAGGTTATTCGATTTTTTCAAAATAAAATTTTCACAATTCTTTGGAAATTATAATATTTTTGTGGACAATTTTTGTTTTTTAATATTTATTTCAAACATTTGTAACCTGGTTTTTAATTCTTATTTGTAGGAGGGTCTGCAGAGTCTGTACAACAATCTGCAGCAGCAGTACGAAAGGCTGCCCGCCTCCCGTCAACTTCCGGCTCTCCATCATCCGCTTCCGCATTCGCATCCGCACCCACATCCGCATCCGCATCTGCATGGCCAGCAGGAGGAGGGCGGAGCACTGCTGCCAGGATCGGTGACCGGAGGCACCGATTCCGTGGAGAACGACGGTTGGGTGGTCATCCAGCCGCATCCCAATGCGTAGTCAGTCTCCTCATCCGGATCGGCGGCTCTCTATGTGTTTTTAGGCTAGTGCTGTAATCTGTAATCTGTAACCGTAATCTGTAATCTGTAATCTGTAAACTGTAATCTGTAATCTATAATCTGTAATCTGTAAACTGTAAACCGTAATCGGTAATCTGTATCTGAACCGTTAGCTATAGCACTCTGTTTTTATTATATGCGTTTGCGGATGCGTTTCGTTTTAAGCGTTCTTTAAGCCTAAGCGTTTTTAGTCTGTTTATTATTAATTACCACCTATTTTCCCGCTTGAGGGTCTCCGAAACTTAATTTAGTTTGTAAACGTACTATAATGCTTATAATATATATCTATAATATATCTGTCCGAGGAAGCTGACAAGGAGTAGACCAAAAAAATATAAAGCCATCGAAAGCAACGACAAATTTCACTGACGCATTTTTGGTGTTCTAATTATTACTTATTAATTATTCTTAAACATCCTGGAAAATTTATAAATGCCCAAAAAATATTCTTGATTGCGAAATTCGTTTTTTAGTATAAAATAACCTGCAAGACATGTTTTAATCACAACGACCTTAAATACAGAAGAATAAATTCTTTTTACACAGATTAATCCTAGAAGTTTCTTTTTTATTCAGCTTTAACGAATGCCATTTTAAAATAAATAAGTGATTTGCTTAATGAAGATTTTAACCTTAAAAACCGATAATCAAGTTGAATTTTGAGAGCCAATAAATCAGCCAAAAATCATTTTATTTCTCGACCCTTTAAAATGTTGCACACCAGGCTTTTAAATTTTAACAAAATGAAATTTGTTTGCTACAATTTTAATCACATTATTTTTATTTACCTATTTATTACCAATGACCTTAAATACAGAAGAATAAATTCTTTTTACACAGATTAATCCTAGGAGTTTCTTATTTATGTCGCTTCAACGAAGGTCATTTTAAAATAAATAAGGCAGTATCCTTGATGTGGCGATCAAATAAGTTTAAACTAAATGATTTGCTAAATGAAGGTTATTAACTTGAAAGCCGAAGTTCAAGTTAAGTTTCGAGAAAAAACACAATGCTAAGAGGATGAAAAACAGTCTACGGTTAAGGACAAGCATTCTTATTTTAGTTTATACAAGTTAAGTACAGGTCGTCTTAATAATTTCACATTAACTATAATTCGAGATATACGTGAAGGCATGTGCGGTCTATACAAATTAATTACAGTTTAATTTAATAATTTAACATTAGATTAATCACCTTTCGATAGCGAAAAGAAGGCATCTACGGTCTATGTGCCGTGCTTGGCACATTTTTTGTCACTGTGCAATCATCACAAAAATCTCGCATGTAGAAATCTACTCTAAAGACATATATATATATATATATATGTATATAAAACTGTAATGAGAATCGCTAAATTCGATGGGGAGGAGATATGCGGAGACGAGGAGGGATTTTAGTTATTTAGTCTAGTTCTTCATCACCAATTAGAAATCGCAGACGGGCACATAAATAGCCGCACATGTCGATTCCCAAACGTCGTTGGGCGAATCCCACGAGTCCTTTTCGCGCCACCACTCCTTGCTATCGAGATCGTAGGCCATTGTCTCCGCGCTGGCGCGATCAATCGATTCCGTTGAGTCGAGCCCGCCCACAAAGAATATGGTTCTGCCCATGGCCGTCACGCCGGAGTAGAATTTCGGTGCCGGTATCTGCGTCTCCACGCTCCACGCATTGCTCTTGATGTCGTACGCATAGATGTGCTGCACCAGCACCCGCATCTCGGTCAGGCTTTCGTGCCACCCGCCGCAGGCATAGATCTTATTGTCCACGGCCACCAGAACGTGATCGCAACAGGGCGTGGGCATTGGAGCCAGTTCCTGCCAGAGCTCCGTCTTCGTGTCGAAGACCCACATGCTCGCCAGGATGTTGGCCAAGTGGATGCCACCTTGGGATGGTAAGAAATGGGGCTCGTTAAAACTGATCCTTTGGCTTTTGATAAACCAGAAACCCACCTGAGATGTACAGCTTATCGCCGACGACGACTCCCGCATGCTGGCTGCGGTTCTCCTGCAGACTGGGCATGTAGGTCCACACATTCTGGGCAATATCGTAGCGCTCCACATTGGAGATCATGCGCAGTGCATCCTCGGAGTTGTCGTCATCGAGGATTCCGCCCACCGCATACAGATGCTGATTGCCCACCGCATTCAGCGAGAAACGGCAGCGATCCAGTTGAATGGGCGCAATGGTCATCCAGGTGTTCCTCAGCGGACAGTAGCAGAAGCCAAACGGATGGATGTACTCCTTCAGGCAGACATCGTAGGCCCCTCCCACGATGAAGAGCTTGTTGTTCAGAACGGCAGTGCCAAAGTTACCTAGAAAACAGTGCAATATATGAGCTACATGAGAGAGGGAAGTGATTAGTTTAGGTTCTTATTAAATAATGATTGCGATTCTTGGCCTACTCGCATTGTTCGTGGTGATTTCCACTGTAAAATGGTTAATGGTAACGATGAAGCGGCTTTGAACAGACAGAAACTTACACTGATCAATGTGCGGAATGGCGGTCAACTCGTACCAATTCATCTTCGATGGCGAGAAGCACATTATCACATTGGTCAGCCCCTTCCACTCGAAGCCGCCGATCTTCAGCAGACACAGCTCCATTCCCCGCATGTTCTTGGGTCCCTGCGGCAGCGATCGATCCTCGAGGGGCACCACTCCGTTGATCAGTCGCCCCATGTACTCCTGCTTCATCCGATTGTAGTAGGTGGTGGGCAGTGGCAGATGCTTGCCCTCGTCCAGCGAGCAGTTCATGAGCCTCAGTTCGTCCAGCGACGTGCAGCTGATGTGTGGCCAGTTGATGAGGCGCAGCAACTCCCCCAGAGCGCTCTCCTCCAGCTGCTGTTCGATGGCGAAGCTACAGACCAGCCGCACCAGATCCTTCTCTGCCACATCGATGGGATAGTTGCTGGAGAGGATGAAGCGCAGCTGGTCCACCTTCATCTCCTTGAAGTCCGCCGTGGTGGCGAACTCCTCGAAGTGGGCGCAGATGTAGCGATGCGCCCGCTCCGACAAGTCCATAATCCCATAGATATCGGCCATTCCCGCGATGGCCAGGCAGTTCTCCATTTCCAGTTTGGTGCCGAGGAACAGCGTGCACCGCTCGATCACCTCGCGCACCTGGACGTGCGTGGCCGCCGCCAGGATCTCCTCGATGTTATCGTAGTTCAGTTCCAGCATCGAGGTGTATATATAGTCGATGATCGAGCCCATCGCACGAGCCGTAATCCCGTACAGGTTGATCTCGTCCTTGCGCGACTCGATCATGGCACAGTCGGCGAACATGGCGCAGAAGTAATCGCTGCTGGCCGCCAAAACGACGCGGTGAGCCTGCCAAAGGATCAAGGGATTACTATATTGTCTTATTCAGTTCAAGATCAAATTCAATACTTTAATTTAGATCTTACATCACAGGGTTTCCGAAAACATTTTATTGGCCCATAAACAAGTTTCTGGACATCTCTTTGATTATGACTAACAACTAATCCAATTTTGAAACACTTTTTGGCCTATTGAATACAATATGAAAAGCAATTCCGGGAATCCCTAAACATATATACATACGTATATATAGCAACAGAAACAAATGCGTCATTGCCCCGAAAGACATTAATTTTTGTCATGGATTTGTTTTCGTTTTGTATTATTTAGCAAGAGAAAGTAAAGATGAGCTTTTTTCGCCGTCTTCGATTATCGTTTCGCCTAACACTTTAACCCTATAACTTTTGTGGCTAACTTTGGTTTTTTTTGTTGCTTTCAGATATCATACATATACGAGTATAATTAATGCAAACTCGCCGTTTTGGTAAACTTCCAAGCTGCGGTTTTATTTTGTGATATGGTTTAGGTTTCTAATAAATTAATTGCGTTTCGTTTTGAATTCATATACATACGACTGAAAGAAGTGTTATAACTAACCTAGCCTAAAAGTTGTTTGGAATGCAGACCACACCGAACGTAACTCGGTTACCTCTAAAGATATGCATACGAAACTTGGTATAGGGTCTCTTGAGATGATTTTGAACAGTTTGAAGTGCAAATCGGTTGGATATATCCCATATCCAGGCGTTTATTTACCTTGAAACGATGCTCCTCGACGATGAGAGTGACGTCGGTGAGTTTGTTTTCGGTGCGGAGTTTGTTGAGTCCCCGAAGGAGGGTTTCCTCCTCGCAGGACATTGCATTCGAAGGACCCTTCGTTGCAGTCGCTGTCGACGTCGCTGCCGGCGTCGCTGCTGGCGCTGGCGTCGCTGCCATTACGGTGGTTGTACAGATAACCGATTAGCACGGGCTAATAACCTATATGATGTATATGATGTGAGTGTTCAGCCCCCAAGGTTGGGGAATCCGTCTCAAGTTGATAAGACGGACAAGTTCTGGAAAGATTACGATTTTGATGGACGCGAATGCGAATGCGAGTGCGAGCGAGAGGGCAGCACTTTCTGTTTACACTCGCGGCCAGCTGGGCAACAATCGTTGTTCCCCGAATTCCCGACTCAATTTAGCACAAATTATCACAAAAAAATATATAAAACTAAACAGTCTACGAAATAAAAAGCAGAGGCACTCGTTTCTCGTACGATTTCTGTGCTTGTTGCTGCCTCTCTGATTTTTTTTGTTGTTTCTTGTTTCGGCTTTGACGTTTCGACTTTTGCGCAAGCAGTTGGTTGGGAAATTGGGAGTACTCCGCACGGTGCGATCGGCATGAATCGGGGAATCGGTTAAATAATTTGTATATTTATTTATTTTAGGACGGTGTGCTCGCTAGCTTGGGAGGGTGTATCAGATAGTTTAGGTGGTTGTCCTCGCTAGGCTAGGAAGATGCCTTAGCTAGATAGGGAGAGTGTACTCGCTAGATTAAGAAAGAAGAAGAGAAAATGCCACTATCGATAAATTTCGATGTGTCGATACTTTGGAGTATTTTCCACATCTCTATCAGCGGCAGAGGCGAAAATCACATCGGACGAAAATCGAGTGGAAAGCGGAGAGAAGAGAGCGATTATTAATTTAATTAATTAATTATAATTTGCCCGAAAATGTTAAACAGTGTGTACGCGCGCGATCCGTTAACTGTGAATTAAAGTAAGAGCAGGCAACAAAAACAAAAGCGTGGCGTGAATTTTTTTCTTGTGAAGGAAAAGGCGAAAAGTGTAATAGAAAAGTGAAAAGCAAGCGATAAAGGACAGGCCAACGAAAATACATGAAACGAAGAAGGCGAAAGGAATCCAATTTATATCAGCAAACATTTGGCCGCCGACGACGCCAAAGACAACAACAAAAAACAGAGCAACAGTCGCAAGAAGAAGCGGCAACAACAAAAAAAAACACAAATGCAACGTGCAAGAAATTGTTTTTTTTTTTGCACTGGCAGCATTTAAAAATTGTCGCGTTGTTGTTTTTTTCTTCCCCTCTCTTTCTTGTACGCTGCAACCTTAAAGAAGAAGAAGAAAAACAGAGCAATTACGAAAGGAAAGAAAAGAAATAAAATGAAAAAGAAAAGAAGCTGTGTAGGTGTGTGTGTGTGTGCGTGTGTGTACGTGCGTGTGTGTGTGCGCGCCACATGAGGAAATTGCCAGCAGCGGTGCCGACTGCGACGTCGGCATCGCATAGTACCAAAAAAATATAGCAAAACAAAAAATGAACCCAAAAATTTATCCACAAGGAAGACATAAAAATACAGCAAAGGTCACCATAATAGCATAATTGCATTTTGTTAATAGAATAAATTAGTGCAAAAAATAAGATGTTTTTATCGGGGTTTAATTATTTGCAGACCCATTAATTTCATAATTAAAAATCAGTAAAATTATTTATTTAATTTCGTGAGAAGGAAGCCCTTTTAAAGTGCTATTATTATGACTGCAACTGTAAAATTGTTTTTGCCTGCCACTGACTCACGTTTCATTGATAAGAAGAAGAACACGATGAAAGAGAAGGAAAAACTAGAAGAAAAAAAATAGGAAAAGGATTGTGGAATGTCCTAAAATAAACAAACAATAAATCGCCTTATCAGCTTTATATAAATTTGTTTTGCATTTCTCTAGTTTGCAAAAAATGTAAACGATAACATAAATATACCAGAAGAAGCAAGAGGCGAATTAGCAAGCAACAAGATAAAACCAGCAACAAACGAGGAGATTATAATTATTCTTTTTGGTAAGTTCCATACACTATTTGTTTATTTCAAAAAATGTGTGTAAATCTAAACAATAAAACAATTGAGGAATCGGTACTTATCCCTTCTTTTTGTGCACTCTCTTCATCACAACTTTTCTTTTATTCCCTCCTTCTCCAATTTCCCGTTGTACGCAAGCAGCGAAAGTTGTCTTCCTGCTTTTTAGTTTTTTGTTGTTTATTTTCCTTGCTCCCTTTTTTTTGTTGGACCTCTTTTTCAATTCTCTCTGGTTGATGAATTCTTCGGATTCTGCAAGAATTAGCATTTTGGGGAAAGGAAGATTATGTTAATCAAAAAAGAATACCATAATGTTGGACTCTAAAATGCGACCTTTTGCAATATTTATCTTAATGTTTGGTTAGCATTTCTATCATTGCATTAATTTTATGTAATTACCTCAACAAGGTTATAAAGTTGATAAAAAAAAATACCACCCACAAAAATAATAGGACTGTAATTTGTATTCAATACTTTACGGGTATCGCTCGATCCATTGCATTTCGCTATCTCAAATATGCGGTAATTTTCCAATTTCGCGGAGAAATAATCTGACACTTTCGCCCAATTTTTTTTACCTTTACCTTTTACCTTTTAATTTCGTTGACATTGCCCTGAACTTGAGGGCAATAAGCAAATAAACAGACAAACAAACAAAACAAACGCACAACTGCTGCAAATGGTAAAAGTCAATAGATAATTACATATAATGAGCAAAGAATTACGTTGCCCAATTGGCAATTATTGCAACAATAGTTAAATCCATTACGTGTTTTTTTTCTCCGTCTTTATACTGGCTAATAATAACGGGCATTTCGAACTCGAACCGAATCACGAATTGTAAGAAAATTCAACTTTATTCGCCGGACTTCGGTTACTGTTACTGTTATTACCACTCCATGGGTTAATGTTTTTTTATTTTGTGTTTTTTTTTTTTTTTGTCTTGGTCAACACGCAAGAAGCAAAAGTAACACAAGAAAACCAGAGGGGAAACGAAATAAAAACAGCAACAAACTGAAATTACATAAAACCTTGAAGTTACACATGAAGAATTTACCGAATGTTGTAGATACTTTGGGGTTTAAATAGTAGCAAGTAAAATACTATTACTGAATCTTTACAACAGCTAAATTCTTTAATTACTGTTTTTCGATTTTTGGAATCCTTAAAAATAATGTTCTTTAAGGCTTAAAAATTATGTATTAGAAATATTTTTTCTTTCTTTTCTTTAAAAGTACTTGACTGCCAGCGTTCCTTAAAATTTCTCGCAGTGTAGGGACGGGGTTGGGGGGCCTAGGAACGAACCGCTGTCTTCACCTTCTGCTTTAACTTTAAGCCTGATGGAAGCGGCCCGAGCACGAGCCGCCTTAACCCAACGTGGGGCAAACGAACTCTAAAACTCAAGTCCGAACCAAGCCGCTTGATTAACCTTCTTTTTTATTACAATATTTTCGTTGACTCTTTTTCGTGTGCTTATTGTTTTTGTTTTGGTCGTGGTTTCAAGGCGGCCACGTTCGGGATGGGAAATTAAATGCACTGCAATTACTGCACCCAAAAAAGTAATATAAAATAAAGAGAATGGATGTTCGGAGGGCCAGATAGGATCTCGGGGGCTAAAGCGAAGAGAACAGAGTTCAAGGGAAGAGAGTCGAATCGTGGTTACAGCTGAATGGGCTCCACTTTGCCAGTACAGTGAACATTGAAAAATCAGGTTTTAATTGCTGCATACATTGCTGTATTAAAAAGGTTAGCACTCAAAAAAATAAAAAAATATTACGATTAATGAGGTATCTATTATTCACAACAAAATAGTAAAATCTATTTAACTACGCAGAATATCAAGTTTACTACTTTGTATGTGCATACAATAATAAATCATTAGGTTTCTCTGGTGTTATGCATTTTTATTCAAATGTTATCGACACCTTTTCAATGCAGTTCTCTATTCTGCAACACCCCATGACCCATACACTTTGCTTTTATTTATTTACTTATTACTTTTTTTGCAACCTATTACTCACTTGTTGTTGTTGGTTGGTCGGTTAATTAAGCTCAAACATTTGTCAACAGCTTGTCGTTGTTCTTTTTGTTGTTTTGTTTGGCTTTGTTGTAAGTCGCGTGAAAATTACAACGTTATACAATTTAAATACTAGAATTAAGCACTTGTTATTGTTGTCGTGCTTGTTGTTGCATGACGAGAAAGCGGCGGGAAAAATGTCGACATGACATAACCCCAAGCATAATATAATATCATACAGATGAGATCAGAATAAAGGCACAAAGTAATTGTTTTTTTTGTTTTTATTGCCTTTAAATCTTATGATAGAAAAGAATAAGTAGAATAGTGAATTTTAACTGAAATGATAATGGCATTCATATGTCTGAAGAAAACTCACGTGCAATGTTTAAAATCAATGTTTTTATTTGCATTGTCGATTAAGCAAATACAACGCTATCATTGCATATAATTTTTTTTTTTTTTGATTTGCCCTACTTCAGATTTGTTTAAACTCGAAAAAAGAATGCCAAGGTCGTTGCTTATTATTATTCACTGTCTTCGGGCTCCGGGGTTTTGTTCTTCTCGTTTCGCGATAACAGAAGAGTAAGCAAGTTTCTAATGAAATGACAAGAACTCAAAAACGTGGAAATGCGGCTGAAAAAAAGGTATACAAGAAAACTAACAAGTGCGGCGGAAAGCAATCGAATTTGGTAGAGTAAACGAGTTACCACCCAGTCCCACCCTATTTGCTGCGAGAACCGGAAATGGGGCCAACAAGTACAACTCGCTAAGCATTGCTCGAAAATATTTTACATATTTCGTTCTTGTTGATTTTTGCGCTATATCTGAAAGCATTTTATCGGTTGCCTATCCATTCTGCATTCCTACCACTATAAATTTATACGGATTGGCAAGGCTACAGCTGTGCTTAAGTTATAGATTTAATAACTGAGTGTTCTTAACACTAGCTAGCGAACAAAGATGTCGTAATATTTACAGATATTTAAAGATTGATGATCTATACATTTTCTTGATGTCTATATTATAACCAAGCAGAGTAATTAGTGAGATTAACGTCATTGAATAATTTAATTTTCCCTGGAATTAGTTCTCTAAACATGTTAATGTAAGTGTAATAATTATTTTGTATATGAGAAACTCATAAAAAAATAACCCGAATATCCCCTTAGGTTTATAAAATTCAGGGAAAGGAACAGGATTGCCTTGTTACTCTCTATTACCCTGTTCGTAATGCCCTTCAGGACTTTATACAATTCTACAAAGGTGTAAAAAAATAAACGAATTGGAGCATTGCATATTGATCTGCTGTTTGTCGCCCCTCGAATCGCTTAATATTAATATTGACCAACAAATGGGAAGTGCAAACAAATTGAAATCGTCGTCGTTGGCGCAATTGTCTTGCCTTATCATTGCCGCCTGGCCGAAAGCAAACAAAGGCCAATTGCAAAAACAGACGGACGACACTCGAAAAGTGAATTGAGCAAGCAAATTGCAGGGGAAACGAGAGTTCCAATGGGCATGGGCATGGGGGTATGGAAATGAAATCGGAATGGAAATGGGTAATGGGTAATGGGTAGTGGGAAATGGGAAATGGGGAAAAAGGGGTGCCACTCTGATTGGGATTTTGGGATTGGGTTGTTTACCAGTTGTTTCGAATGAATTGGACACCTTTCGTGTGTCCTCGTACTTTTCAGGTGGCAACGCGGTGGTAAAAAGGGTGTCTAGTGATTGGGCTTTGTCCACCTTGTGATTACATTTCACGCCCCAGTCCCAAAGCCAAAGCCAAAGGCCGGAAGAGTCGGAAAGGAAATGCAGCAGGAAGCAGTCCGTCAGCCAACTGGCAACGAAGCACTGAAAGAAATAGTTGAACTTGGCGCAGAACTTATTTTTCAATGAATTTGCAATATAGAAAGTAATTCGCAGGGAAACGGTTAGTAGTTTACTTTACGTGTTTCCCATAGAAAGTGCATTTATAAATATTCAAGTAAAATAATTACCCCTCTGTATTTATTAACGTGTAGACGGAATCCAGATTCAACTCAGGTTCAGACTCATCAACGTCGCCATTATCAACTCGAGCGTTGTGATTATCCTGATGATTGTGGCCCTGCTGCTGCTGTCATTTTATCTCTGGCCTCTGTTTTAGGTGGTTCGGGTTGCCGGGTGGTTTGGGTGGCTTCGGTGGTTGCCTAGCTTCTGTAGAGTGGGTGGTGGGTGCTTTCGACACGTGCGACGGGCGCTAAGTGGGCGGCTATGCGCTATCATTCGGCCTGCCAGCCGTTTCCTCTTATCATAAAACAAAGGCGGGAGCACAGGGAAAAACAACAGCAGCGTCTAAGCTTTCATGAAACAGAAAAATACTTGGGTAATACACTATCAAATTGCAACCTGAGGATTACTCTTCGAAAATGATACCTTAAGTGTGTTTAAATATTTTGCTCAGGAAGATCCAAACTTTGCAAGAAGTGGTTTGCAGGAAATTTAAAACAATTTAAAAAATATTTACATTTGCATAATTAATTCTGAAAATGTGTAAGTAAACCTTATAGTAAATACCTTTAAATGAAATTATTTTAGGGTATAATGAAACAAAAACAAACAAAAACAACACTCAGACAAACTGAACAAACAGAATATCGTAGGAAAAGAGAGCGAAACAGGGGAGCAGAAGGGGAACGGAGTGTGAAGTAGCATTGGGCGATAGCGGAGAACAAGCAAACGTAAATGCGTTGGAGGACAAGCACTTGACTACAACAACTAAAGTCACAAAAACAACTCAGGTATGCAGTGTAAAAAACGAGTAAAAAACAACATTCTAAAATACAAAATTACGCTGCTTAATCACAGAGATCGCTTATGAAAAAAAGAATTCCATTCATCAATTTGGAGTCATTAAATAAGTAAATTGAGACTCCCCTACAAGCCAGTTTTCGATTCGGGTAACTTGTTAGCAATGATTTATTA